AAATATTGTAAAAATTCCTTCAAATATTTCTAAATTGGCACCACAAAATCTGTAATTTGGTTTGCAAAAAAAGTATTTATTGACATTGTAACAGTTTAATTGGTTTTGTCAATATATTCAGGCACAACTGGCCCTTTAAGAACATTCAGATTTTTTTATGTGGCCCAAACTGAAAATGAGTTCGACAGCGCTGCTATAAACCCCTAGATAAACAGTCATAGTAATTTGTTTAGCAGTTTAATAAGTAAAGACTCTTCATTCGTAGATGATAACTTAAACTAGTTGAGTGGTTGGAGGTCAATGTAGGAGGGCTAAAATAACAGTTTAAATGTGTGCTATTTTAGCAATATTCCTAGTCAAAGTAAACTCTGCTTCACAAATCTTTACCTTTGTTTGAATCCGCATGTTTTGACTTGACTGTCCCCTTTCTGCTGGCACAGCTACATGTAACCACTGAGCTACCATAAAGGTTAAAAGTGATTTCTATTCTGTCCTGTTATATTCAAAGTACTCTCTAGTTGCTGTATTAATATTATTATGGGCAGTAATATGGTGAAGGGGAGAGCTTTAAGCTTTGACATTCTCTCTGTACTTGTATGTAAGAATGTTTTTGAGTTGGTCTGCTGTTAAAAACCTTATATATCAGTTTTTATAACTGGGTCTGGACGACATCCTGTGTTCAAAATATATGAAATATTTAGACTGATCAAACCTAACCCAACCTTTCTACGAATTAGGGGTCAGCGTATGGATCTAAACATCAATACTATCAAAACCAAGGTGAGCGCTGGTACCAGATTCATGTTAGCAAGAGGAGATTAAAACTTTTGTTCCATTTCTCAAATTACTCCAATTTTAGCTGAGGTAACATCATCAATACACACAAGCAGTAACAAGCATTCATCCTTAAGAGAAGTCTGAGTTGGAAAAGAAAAAGTCAAGGACGGAGGAGAGGGTGAGCTCACTAAACTCAAACCTGACCTCCAACAGAGACAGAGAAACAAAATCTGGAATATCAACATAGTCTCCAAAATCAATGAATGCTTTTCTCATTGTAATCTGAGATCATAGAGGCAATTTTAGCAAGCAGAATAAATTATTACCATCAGTTCAGGCAGTTGAAAAACAAATCTTACTGGAACTCATATGAACCTGAAACTGAAATATGAAAACACGTGAATATAATAACTTTTGTGTGTTAACTATTGGAAGAAAAATAGAATTCCTATTTAGGCTGCATGCAGATTGTAGTTACAGACTCAGTTATCCTAATAAACAATTATGTGAAATAAAAGGTAATAAGGGATTTTTTTTTTTATTTCTATACTGCTACATTATTTTATGTTGTAGTTCATTAATTTAAAAAAAGTTATTTGCCTAAAATCTTTGTTCTGTATTTTGTTATAAATCAAATCAGCAAATTGTTCAATGATGATATTCTATTAAATACTTCAGGAGTTATTAGTGATACTAATCCTCTTGATATCAGATACCAAGTAAAGAGCTTAGCGTCTGTCACTCACAGCTAAACCACTACTGCCACCTACTGGCAGAAATAAATATTGTTTGATGTTTGTCTAAAGTGGATGAGGCTTGAAAAATCCAGTGCAGAATAACAAACAGATTTATTTTAGACAAAGAATAGTATGATGAATAAACTATTAAAACTCAAATACTTCACACATCCCTTCATATGTTAATAAATCCTCTTTAACCTTTCTCAGGTCTGAGTTTTGGGTCATGTAAATCATCACATACATGAATACAGAATTACACAGTGATTTTTTTTTCATGGATCTAATTAAGTTAAATTTTTATATATATTTAACATAATTCTTTTTTTTTTCAACAAAGTCATAATGTAGTGAGACAGGATTTTCCTGGATGGGTTTACAGAGACACACTTCTCTGAATGGAAAAACTCAATATAAGCAGAGCTGAGTTGTAGCTACACATTACATTTACTCAGTGTCATTTATTGGAGTAACGTTTTGGGGGAAATGTACTTCTAGGAGTATTTTTACTCCACTGTACTTTTTACTTCTTTTTGAATCATTTTATTCTGAAGTATCGCTTCTCTCACTTGTGTAACATTTCAGATACTCGACCCACTGTGGGTAACTCCACTGAGTGAAGAACAAACATGTTTTAGCCAAAAATTCACCAGACACAGACACACATCTGCAGTTTTATTCATGTTTATTAAGTTTTATGTTGAAAGAAATTGATTTCGAAATGTTCTTATTTTGCCCAATGTTGTTATTATGCTGCTTATATGAATTATTTTCATTTTGGTCCTTAAAATACCAACATAACTTTCCACATAACTTTATATTTATTTTTTTATATATATTTTAAATGATATTCTGATCAGTTACTTATTACTTCAGTAGCCTTTTTACCAAATACGTTTTTCTCATACTTGAATAATTTCTTGGATGGCTAAAAAGATGTCAAAGTAGTGCTTCTCTTGTTTGAGTAAAATTTTTGAGTACTCCAGCTACCTCTGAGTATAAGCAACCAGTTTATTAAGTGTGGGGTGGACAGGTGAGGATGTGAACCCAAGAATGATTATGAAATAAAACGTACTAGGAGATTTCTTTGAGCAAAAGCTCATTAACCAAATGCAAACCTCCTTAGTGTCTCCTTAGATCCCATTAAGCAAATGAGCAGGAAACTGGAAGCTAAATGACCATCACTTAAGAAAATACTGTAAATTTAGACAGTGGCCAATGTCAATCCATTATGCAAGTCACCAAGTTCAGGGTAGTCCTCAAAAATGCAACTAGCCTTAATTTCTGAGTTCTAAAAGATGTTTAATTTGAAAGCGTTCATCAGTTCTTCCATCAACTTCACAAAAGATCCTGACAATATAGAGTCGTCTTTGGTTTGGTGTTGACTTGTGCAGAAGCTGAAATACCTTGTCACTTTTGTTGGATACTTTTCAAAGTTGAGCTAAAGTTTAATTTAATCTTTCAGTTTAAGAATATTTAGATAGTCTGGGAAAAAAACAAAATACTCTTCTCATCCTCTCTGCATTTTCTCTTGGACTTACCAGAATTATCTGTTAGCTTGTCTAAACTTAGCTTGGTTAACAAACAAACAAGCTAACAAACAGCTTACCTGTTTGTTAGCTTGTTTGTCTGTAGACCAGGGGTGTCCAAAGTCGGTCCTCAAGGGCCGGCATCCTGCATGTTTTAGTTCTCACTCTGGTTTAGCACACCTGGATCAAATGATGGTTCATTAGAGACCTAAGAAGAACAATGACATGCTGAAAAGGTTGTTACTACCACCAGGGAGAGAACTAAAACATGCAGGACCGACTTTGGGGACCACTGCTGTAGACAATTCGGTGGACAAGCTAACACACAAGCTAAGTCTAACTCTAAACTTAGCATGGCTAATAAACAGGCAAACTGCTTGTTAGCTTGTCCACAGCTTGGTCTCTACTTGGTGCCAAAAAAAAATTTGTGATTTGTCCTTTGTTTCTATTGCAGAATGTAGACTAGCTAACTTTCTTTTTCTGTAATGTGTGCAGTAAAACAGAGGAACATTCTAGTTTTTCACTGGATTCTGCTCTTACTCTATCTGTTTCTTTTCTTTGTTTTCCACGTCCTCCATTTTTGAAAGTTCTGTAAGTTTACTTTTTTAACTGTTATTAAAACTCTCCACCTTTTTGCCTCTGGGTGTGTCAGCATTTGGGTCAAACAAGAAACCAAATCATGACAACTTAGGGAGAAGGAAGTCAGACATGAATTTGAATGTGTTCCTTTCAAACTTAACATCACAGGCAATTGAAAAAACATTTGTATAAAAATACAATTACACCTAATGCATTTAGTCAAAGGATTATTAGAGATAAAAAAAATAAGTAAAAAGTAAAATAAAAAGTAGTAGATCCATTAATGTACGTACCCCACCAAATAAAAAAACAAAAAAAAGATGGCTAGAAAACAAGAAACCCAGCCAATTATCCCAGGCAGTTCCTGCTGTAGCAGAGCATTAGCCACTAGCTAACATGATGACAGAACAATTTATCTTGTTTTCCTACATCTGTCACTGTGAGAAGATTCAGGATAAGATGCAAAGTAGAACCATGAGGAGCGAGGGAACAGGGTGGTGACCTCATCCTAATGACTGATAAGTTTAATGCTTTGCTTTGATTGGTTGGAGGAGCTTCTTAACTGAGGGAACAAATCAAGAATCACTATTACCTGAAGTTGAGCTTCAAAGCTGCTTTTCTGTTGCACACTGAGGTGAGTTAGGATGTTTTTAGATAAAAACTGTTCAAAGTTAAATCCTGTTTAAATTACCCATAAATATGTTTGCATTTACTATTTTTTTCCCCCTTAATAATTTCTACTTTATTTTAACGCTTCCATGTGTTGAGAACATATATTAATACTTGCACTGGATAGAAACGTTTCCTCTTTATACTGTTATAAGGTGATGTTGTGGAATCAAAAATTCAGAAGAAATAAAAAGACGACAGGAAGTGACTGGAGAATAATGCTGCAGCATGTTTTTGAATGACTTATTGCATTAATAAGTCATGGAATCATGCGTGATTTTTAATTGCGTTTCTTATTTAGGAAACACCACAACTGTGAAAAATTGTGTTTTTTGACATTAGCTGAATAGCTACAAAGTTTTGTGCAGATTTGTAACGGAAACGCAGCTAATTTATGGCACACTGAGGATTATATTACAAGGTTTATTAGACCGATTTAGACAAATTGGTCTAAATTATGCCCAAATAGCATTAATTCAATTCAGTTCAAATAAATATAATTCAATCTTTTTACACACTGTCCAATTCCACCTATTTTTAATTCAACACAGCAATTAAAAAGAGTCAGTTGACACCTGATAAATGTTTTGTGTGGTAGGAAAGCAGCTTCTGTTTTTTAAATTCAGCTGTTTGAAGCAATTCAGTATTTCTGTCTTTCCTTGGAAGATGCTGAATATTTCACTGAAATTATTTAATAGAACTGGTTATGTGGCTACAGGTACTTGGAGACCAGCGCCGCAGATTCAAGATGAGGAACATCTGCATCTTTTTCTTCCTGCTACTCGCCTCCCATCTTGCCTGTGTGCAGCTGTCGGGCCTCAGACAGAGAAAGTTTTCTTACTACTATTACTACACGGAGACATGGAGAGGAGCCCAGTCTTTCTGCAGGGAGAAACACGATGGTCTGATCACAATCAGAAATGAAACAGAAATCTTGGAGTTCTACAGGTACCAAAGCTGGCTTGGACTGTACCGAGAGAATAACACAAGCCCATGGAAATGGTCCATGAAAGACAAAGTAGCAACCTTCTTCAACTGGGACTTCAACGGTAAGGAAAACATCACAGTTCAGGTAATGATAGAGACAAGTTAGAAAACTTGAAAATTATTTATTTTGAACAAAATCTTGAGAAATAATTTCTCCAAACAATCATCATATTACATCATATGGATGTAGCTTTCTCTCGTAAATCAAGAATGTGTGCATTTAGCTTAAAAGCAGAAATTCTGATTTCCGTTATCGAATGTTTATAAAAATGTGCTTCGCTTTTCTCTGCGCATTAGTAAAACCAGCTAATATTTGTTCTGCTTTTTATTGGAAAAGAGCTGCAACTCTACATAATAACAATTACAGACAAAAGATCCACAGCTTAACTTAAACTAGGTTTATAGTTGAAGCGATTAACTAGTTGCGAGGGTGCGCTCACTAGTGGCGCCTCCACGCCTCTTCGCTTTGGCCTCATGTGCTGTCGGAGTTGGAATTGTCCAGTTTCACTTAAACTGGATGATTCAGAAGGTAGCAAAGCAGGTTCGCCTGGACTAGCATTTATATGATCCATCTATAAAGTTAGCAATTTTTGGACAATATGTTTCGAGTTCTTAAAGGGGCAGTGTTATGTAAAATCAACTTTTTTGAACTTTACATCGTGTTATAATGTTATTCCCTTTGAGGATAAAGCTTCTCCTCGGAGATGCAGTTTCCAAGTTTCCAAACTTCCATTTTACAGAGCACCTCTGTAAAGGTGCTCTGTAAAACTCCCCCACTCTGCTCCTTAAGACTAGCCAGCAGCAATTAACAAACACCTGTTGGAACTGCGAATCTTCTCAGCTCATTATATAAGCTACTTCTCAGTGCATCGCTGATAAAAACATTGTTAAACAGTTAATAGAGGAGCCATGTTGTGACGACTTAAAGGTGGCATTTCAGAAAGAGCGGGAGATTTAAAGAGACAATGGCTCTTTAAATTACAAAGTCAAATTTCTGTTAAGTGATATTTCTTGCAACTAAAGGTAACAGTTATTTGATTGTGTTATAAAACATCATCATGTGCCTGGAAAACATAACACTTCCCCTTTAAAGGAACTTGAATAGAGTAACTGTATCAAAGATAGTAACTGTAGGTTACCATGAACATGCAGCCTGATGGTAGTGGGCGCTCCATATGTGGAAGCTTGATTCTGACCTTGAACCAACTGCTGTATCATTTCCTTCTCTTTTTGCCCATTTGCTGTCTGATTTCTATTGTAAAGGCCATTAGACTCATAAAATGTAGAGCATACACAGGGAGACTGCTGTTTTTATTAAGATACCAATGCTAATCTCCAATAAGATATGAAAGACAATTTGACGTTAGCCACAACATTCTAATCGGTTCATCTCTACTTCAGCAAAAATATTTAAATGTTTCTATTAGTGGGGAGTTTCTCAACATAGGCATGACAAATCATATTCCCTTATCATTAAAAATGCAAAAGCATGAGGGAAGGTTTAGATTTGAAATAAAATTGCTCATTTCATTTTCTCATACTTTAAAGAGAACAGGATTAATAAGCTCTCCAGTGCCTTTGGATCTTGACATTAAATTGAGCCGTCTTCATATCAGTGATATAATTTGCTGAATGATCTCCAGATTTCATCGGTAGAATCTATTTCTCCACTGTTTCTTGTAGAACCAGACTCAAACGAACACTGCGCTTATAAGGTGTCGTTCACCAGCAAATGGAGGAATGATGAGTGTGAGCAGAGACATACGTTCATGTGCTATGATGAGTCACTGACTCTGGTGAAGGAGAATAAAACGTGGGAGGAGGCGTTGGAGCACTGCAGGACTCTGAACAAAGTCAACAGATACGACCTGGCAACCCTCACCACAGAGGACGACCATGACTTTGCACAAGAGATAATCCAACTGGCAACCACTGAGGAGGTGGGCTGCTGTTTACTCTCTGGTGATCTTTACCAACTCATCGTCAGTGTTTGTGTTGACCTCCCTGCTACATGTCGGTAGGTGTGGACCGGCCTGCGTTACCTTGGTGATGAGTGGTTCTGGGTGGGTGGAGAACCGGTGCAGTACCAGAACATTCCAAGCTGTCCGGCTGAGAGATGTGGAGTCCTGGAGAAGAACAGCAACTCATCCTTCGGCATCAGAGACTGCAATGAGAGAAGGAACTTCTTCTGTTACATAAAACCTTAAATGTACAGACAGTTAATAAGGCTGAATTCTTTGCCTTATTAATCCTGTTGTCAATTCTAATTATGAACTTTACAAGCTCTACAGTCTTTTAAAGGTTAAATCTATTCAAACATATATGAAGACTAGCATAAGCTATTAAGAATCATTTTTTGACCCTTTTCTATTCATTGTTTTCGTTTCATATGTCAAATCTCCAGCTGGAAGGAACCAACACAATTCACCTAAATGACTTATTTAGAGCTGTAGTAGGTAAGGTTCAGAAAATATTTGCTTTTTACAGATTTGTCACTTTGTCATGACAGTACACTATGCAGCAGATAATGTGTGAAAAAATACATGTCGAGCTGCTCTGCTTCCTTACTGCCATCTGTAGAAATACACAGCCCTGTCAGAAACCACCAGTCTGAGCTAGGAGGAGGGTTTTATCGCTGTCAATCATGCTTGGATTCTTGCTGCCAGTTTCTCACAATGGAACCTGTCAAGAATGTTAAGGCTAGTTAGCATGTCGACCAATCAGCTTTGAAAACTTCTCCCTGCTGCTGATGGTGATTTATTTATGTTTCACATTTGTATTATGTGAAACTGTTCTCTCGAAAATTTTACATTTGCTCTTTCACATATTTACATGAAGTGAATTTCAGAAACATTGTATCCTCCATATTCTTCTGACTATGGCTCTTCACTTTTTTATATTGTACTTTGAAATTTTTCCAATTACTTACAATTTAGTATAACCTCAGTTTGTCTATCCAATAATTATAAAAGTTCACAATTGCTTATGTGTACTTGTGCACTTTTAGTGAACATCTTTTGATAATTTGTCTTTTTTTCTGAATTTCATAGCCTTACAATTCATGCGGGTTTGTTGTTGCATTTATAAATAAAAATGATTTTTGAATAAATTTCCTTTCTCTCAATTCAACCTGAGCTTTCGTCTCACTGATCAACATATCTGACCTTAGACTGTCTTTCTACTTTCCTCACTTTTTACTCACTTCTGTTTTTGACTTGTACATGGACAGCTCCTCATCAGTCGTTTGCTTTGTGCTCATGCCAAGTTTCTCCATTGCTTACTTTCACTGTGCAAATATCTGTTGCATGTAACAGATTCTCACACATATTATGATTGTGATTAATTTCTGATTGAGCCTGATTCTTTTGGTGCCCTACTCACCAGCACTGACCCTGAAAAACGCTACGCAAGTCTGACGTCATTTCATTTCAATCCAGAAAGCATAAAATGAAATGCTGACCTGTTACCTTCTCTCTTTTTTTTGCCTTTGTTCTGAGAGTAGCTAACTTTACTTCATTTATGTTTTTATTTTGTTTTTTTTTACACAAAATGTCTTTTTGTGTAAAAACAGTACAAAACATTTTGACAACACAGAGATCGCTAATTCAGCAAATGCAACAGATATGCAGAAGCAGACAAAAGTAAGAAATACCTCTGACCACGACATGGCATGGTGCTTCCATGTAATATTTGCTTATATGATACGAGGTTCTACCTACTGTAGGTGTTAGAAATTGAACTGTAAGGGCCTCTCATACCTTCTGGATGTTGTATCTACACAAACCCGGATCCTGCACCTCCGTCACATCCATCTCCAAGACGCTGTGGATGTCTTCCAGAACAGAGGTGCACCACACATTTTGCCCACTAGGTGGAAGAATTCTATTGTCTCCCACTGTAAATTACAGCATTATGATTCTTCAAAAATATATGCCTATAGGAACAAGCCTTTGTCATAGAACAATACAGGTACCTGAACAAAAAGTACTTCTTCTACTTTTTCAAATTTCTGTACATTACAACCACAAATAGGTAAAAAAAAAAGTTAAACATTAGAGTTGTATGCATTTGTATCTTTACTTTTTTACTTTATTAAACATCAGGTCCGGTCATTGCATTAACATAAATCATGTGCTTTATTTTCTCACCAGTCGACTCCAGATTGACAGAATCAAGAGAAAGATTAGCTTTTACTGTATACAGTCACATGTGTAACTTACTATTCCCAGTTATTCCATCAATATTTTATTAGTTAATACTTGTGATATATCCAAAGTAAGCTTAATACCAAACCTTGTATCAGTCAGTACCTTGGTACCGTTGGTTCAGTGATTCCAGCTCTTTCGTGTTTACTTTGAATAGAAAATAAAACATAAAACACAGAATTGAAATGGTTGTGCAATATGAGTGTTTAGTTAATCAGAAGAAGTCTTTCCAATGCTTGAACTCTCATTGTAAACAAACCTTCATTATCTCTGTAGGTGCTGAACCTTCACTTTCAGTCCAGCCAACCAGGCGCTCATCTCCCTCAGGACGGCGTTGATGTCCTGTGTGCAGGTCTGCTGGTCCAGTTCTACCTGCCCCCCAGTCTGCCTTAAATGTGAAAGAATGTCATTTTCAGACTCCGCTTGAGGTTGAGCTGCAGAGACGGAGCAGACCAGCAGCAGCAATGGAAGCAGCGTTCTTATTTCCATCCTCGGTGTTGGTCTATGTGGGTCAACTCTTAATTATTGTGACTTAAACTTCCTCAAGCCTTAAATACTGAATTTTATTGTTCGTGACAAATTATTACCAGTCGGTCGGGCTATTTCCAGGCAACGCACTTCAGCTCTCATGTCTTCATGTTTCAGCTGTGTGTTTTCTTGCTCTGCACGAAGAGACATGATCTGAGCATGAAGTGCATCATTCTTACTTGCAAGCATGTTATATTTTGCTTGCAAGTCTGGTTGCCTGGAACTCCTGCCAGTTTTGGGAGCACTCGTCTTTTATGTTTGTAAAGGTTCAGTGTTTTCAAGGTTCTTCAAGTTGTAAGTTGCAAGTTCCTACATTTGAGACAAAAAACAGAAAGAGCCGATATGTGGGTTTTAAGTGAATGAGTACTGAGTCCATTGTTGATGTGATCTCCTGGAATGTAAGAGGCCTCAAAACAGTAATGAATAGTGTTAAGAAAATACATTTAAAATATGCTTGTTTTAAAACTTAACATGTCTTGATTGAAATAGCTTAAATATAGTTTTTGGACTAATCTTTTGGTTACCTGCAGCTATAGCAGATTGCCTGCTAAATCTTTTGATCTGCCCTTTGTCTGTGTGGGAAAGAATCAGGAGAAGTTCCAGCTTCACACTGATTGAGTTCAGGCCAGTGGAGGAGAAGCTCCACTTCCACTTTGTTTAGATAACGGTGACAACTGGTGTTTGATCTTGAAAACAAATTGTAGGGAGTTTCTAACTTTTAAGATGGTCAGAGACTGTCCCTAGTTGGATGAGCGAAGGTACACCTTATTTGAATAAATTAAAGAGAAGAATACGCCTTTACTATAAAAGTTTGTGCACATGAAGAACAAACTAGATTTGCTTTTGCAACTCTCCAAAGACGTCTTTGCCTTTCTTTCTTTCTTCTTCTTTTCTATTTGTCTCAGGTAAATGAATGTCTGCTTTAGTGTGTTTGAAGTGTCTGTGTTGTCAATGTGATTTTATACTTTTAAATGTTAGAATAAACTCTGGAAATGTATGAGGTGAAGCGTTGACTGTCATCTCTGTTAGAGACTTTTTGGTATTATCATTTTGTTATTACTTTAGTTCATATTCAGTCTAATGTTAATCAATAGATAATCAACATTCAGTCTATAGATCGTTGTGATTTTCTGTTTAAAGTGTTCTCTTCCTTATGTGTGTATAAACTGATCTGGAGGTCACGATTGTCTGTTCATCTTCATGTGAAACAGTTAACTCTGTGTTTCTCATACCTTAAATTCTTATCAACCAGAATACCTCCTAACTTAGGAACTGCCTGTGTGCAGTCGTATTTTGTCTTGTTGACAGGTTGACCGAGATTTGAACCGGGCTCAGACCGTAGATCAGATATCACACCTGGAACTGGGTTGCTAGTTGTTTGGGTTAGAAGTTTTACGACCTCTATTGCGTTTCCTGACTGCCCCCTTGGCTGTTTTTCTTTGACAATAAAACAGGGGCTCACGCGGAAGCAGACCAGAACGCTCTGTGAACGGCTCGGAGGAGCAGTTGGCGGAGTCTTCTCCTTCTGCAAAAGCTTGGCCATAAAATTCATATACGTTGTCTGTGGTTCTTTTATGTAGGTTCGAAAGGAAAAATACCCATCAATCTCTGTGTGGCTTTTGTTTCCACGTATGGAATCATTGAATCCGGGAGCACAAGAGAATATAACGAGCCAGAAATTAATGATTTTATTCTCTACAATAGACTTAAACAATACCATCCAAAGGTGGTTTTTATCCAAGAAACACACTTACTTACAAATGACGTTGCACGACTAAGAAGAAGATGGCCAGGTCAGGTATTTTCAAGCTCATTTTCTCCACATGTTGGAGGGGTTGGGGGTGCGGGGGGGCAATTCTTATTCATAAATCTTTACTTATTTGTATAAAAATAGCTAACATAGATCCTGCTGGGAGATTCATCATAATCCAAGCCTCACTGATGAACTAAAACTTAATTTTGGTTAACCTGTATTGTCCTAATATAGATTAGGAAATAGACCCTGATTTCTACAATAATTTGTTTCTCTCTATTACAGCTTTCCATGGTGATGTGATCTTTGGTGGAGATTTTAACTGTACTTTAGATCCTAATATCGACCGATCAGCAGGTTTAGATTTGTCCCACCCTAAAAGTAGACGGCTTATACAGCATTTTATGTTTGAACTAAACTTAAGAGAAATATGGAGAATACAGAATCCAACAAAGAAAGAATATTCTTGTCACATAATATCTTGTCACATAATATCTTACTTCTTAATTTCAAATTCTTTGGTTGCCAGAATTAAGAGTTGTGCCTACAAAACATATTGATCTCTGACCACTCACTATGCATGCTTAAATTTTCACCCTTCGTTTAGTTTAGACGTAATCCTATTTGGCAATTAAAATCCCACTGGTTGCAAATGCCCAACTTTCTGAAATATATTGAGAAAAATATTGATGATTACTTCAGCCTTAATAAATTCGAGACT